TTTGCATGCTCACATTAAATTAATGGAATGTATATTGTATATTACATACAACTTGTCCTGCTTTGTAAGATTTGGTCATGGATTTTATGGAAAAAAAAATTCTTCCTAGGTTGCAAGAATAAATAAGGTAAAAAAGTCAGTTTTCTGTGCTATTTAAGCGGCAAAACTTCAGATTCAATGAAGGACCTCTTAAAATTGAAATTATGAGCTGCGCTTTTAACAGGATATTTGTTCGGACATATTTTACGATATTTTGGGTGGAGAGCAAGAAAAAAAAAATATTGAGTTTTTTTGGCACACCCTAATGCTCATAAGTTTTAGTTGAATTATTCTTGAATACATTAATTCTGTGGGGATAAGTCAAAAAAAGCAATTTTTCAGTGTAGCCTTAAACGTATTCGCATTAATTCAGGAAACATATTTATGGTTAACGGGTATACCCTTTTGTTAGCCCATGTCATATGCTAACAAAAGCGTATACCCGCTAAACATAAATATATTTCCTGAATTAATGCGAACACGTTAAAGGCTCTATTGAAAAATTGCTTTTTTTGACTTATCCCCTTATACCTTTTACCCACAGAATTATTATAAATATTTCAACATGTATTAAATTTTTAAAAAATATATACAAAATATACTTATGCTATAGGATTAATAATTAATTTCCTATTTATAACAAATTATTAGGTATTACAATTCTTTGATTTGCTTAAAGGAAAAATATTTTATAAATTAATTAATAATCCCTTGTTTTGCATCTTTAAAGGTAAACTCATTTATAAGGTACTTTCTGAGGAAGATCAAGAATCTAAAAATAAGGATTTAAAAAAAATGTTTTCGAGAAAAATAAATTGAAAATCAACAAACGAGGTTATATTTCATCGACTTTTAATATCGTCTGACCACGTTATTAATAATAACGTTACTTAGGAGAAATACAAAATTTGTAAAATATATGCTTGATGAAGAAGAAGTTAAGGAACTATTAATGGAATAAATGTTAAAATTCAAATTATGTTTATAATAACCCCTTAATAAGCAAGCCTGTTCACATATTTGAGGTGGTAAAGCGTTTTGATTTTCAAACTTTTCCATTTTTCGAGTCGCCCTAATGTACCTACATTGTGGGGTGGTCCACGTTAGGTGATACTTATCTAAGAAACTACTGTAGTCACAAAAAAATTGTAAGGGAGAAATATTCACGAAGTAAAATATATTTTTAAAATATTATATTTTCATTTATACAGAGTGTTATTATTATTTTCACCCTGTATTTTTTTGCATTTTTAGATTCTGCACACTATTTTAGGTATACTTTGTAAATATATTAATTAGGAAAATGTTAATACTTTTTGAGTAAAATTAAAATTTATCAAAATTTCTCTAAATAACTATACTAAAATTTATTATTTTTTATATTATGTAGTAATCATCTCTTTATAAGTTAATTTTTTTTTTTTATAAAATATTATACAGGGTGTTTTCTATGCACCGTTGAAAATAGCTATTTAAAATGTTTAAAATCTTGTTTTTTTTTTAAAGGTATACCCTATATACGAGGTGTGTTCAGAAAATATCGGGAATTTTCGTTTTTTGAAACAAATATTTATTTATTCGTCTACATTAATGTTGTCGCCTTCAAAATAGTCCCCATTGGATATTATGCACATGTGCCAGCTCTTCTTCCAATACTTGAAACACTTCTAAAACTCGATCTTTGGGATAGCCTTTAGTTCTTTTAATGCGCTTTTAATGTCATCTATGCTTGCAAAACGACGGCACTTTAAGGTTCTCTTTATTTTTGGGAATAGGAAAAAGTCAGACAGGGGCATGTCTGGCGAATATGGAAGCTCATTACAGTATTGTTTTTGGCCAAAAATGTTGTTCAAAATTTAACAATTTTAGAACAAATTTTGCTGCCACGCGTTTCATACCCAAAACATTTGAAAAAATTTCATGGGATGAGCCAATCGATATACCAACATCATCAGCGACTTCTCTGATGGTTTATAACCATTTCTTCCACTTTTTTCATGTTTTTATCGGTTGTTAATGCGCTTGTGCGTTCGGGGCCTTCGTCATCTTCAACGTCTTCACGGCCATCTTGGAAACTCTTATACCACTTGTAAACTCTTGTTTTACTTATAGCAGACTCACTATAGGCCTTTGTTAACATTTCACAGAATTTATTTAATTTTTTAAGCAAAATTGGATACAAACTCTTTGATCCATTTCTTTTAACGAACGAAAAATCGCCGAGTCTAACGTCTAACCTTAGCGGCTGCCACAGACAAAGTAAACAATGAAAACAGCTAAAGTTTTTATCATACTTCAGGGGCATATATACCAACATAATAAAGAAAATTTTATGACAACCGGACCCACCGAACCCGCGAAATTTAACAATTCCCGTTATTTTCTGAACACACCTCGTATTTTTACATAATTGGATAGAAATAGTAATTTCCCTTCTTTTTATATATATATATATTAGGGTGTCCCTTATTTTTATTTTTTTTACGCATACCCTCTAATTATATTTATTACGTGTTTATATACTCCCATTAAAAATTTCAGCTCATTCTATAAACGGGAACCCGTGCCGACTTGCATCTGAACCCTCCGTTAGCCAACGTTAGGCGCGCGGTATTTTGTAACACGGTTGGTCGCGAGGTCTTCGATCGTAAGTCATTTTGTGTTTGTTATTATGTGACCCTTATATTATAAATTATTGACAAAATTTGTCATTTAATGTTAAAATATAATTTTATTTATGTGTATACTTTGATAAAAATGTATATTTTCACAGGGAGTGGCTAGTTATCCGGAAGGGTCTGGTGAATAGGCCGTAAACTCTGAAATTGATAAACTTAATGGGTTTTACTCTAAATAACTAAAAGAGTCTATTGTGAGAGATAACTACCGAAAACTTATTGAACTGTCTGAAATATTTTTGGGAGGACATCAAGAAAAGAAATGCTTATAAAAAGCTGAAATTTCATATAACAGTATATTTTAGCAATACTAATTAGTATAATAATATATTTAAGGGATAAAATCAACTAAATTAGTGAAACAAAAGCAATAATATTAATTAGTAATCATATTTAATAAAATCATTAGAAAAATACAGTCATAAAGTATATCTTCTTTTTAAAGTGTTGCGTGTTACAAAATACCGCGCGCGCCTAACGTTGGCTAACGGAGATTTTAGATGCAAGTCGGCACGGGTTCCCGTTTATAGAATGAGCTGAAATTTTTTACTGGGAGTATATAAACAAGTAATAAACATAATTAGAGGGTATGCGTAAAAAAATAAAAATAAGGGACACCCTAATATATATATATATATATATATATATATATCCAGGATACGTTGTTGCGTCCCTACATGGGGAAACCACCATTCAATGCTGCGTCCTGTACAATACTGCGTCTGTATATCGGACGCAGCATTGTTTTTCTATTCTATTTTCATAATTATTCACGTTATATCGGTCTATTACATATCAACCTGTCTCTTTTTTTCTGGACTACATATAGAAAAAAAGTTTTGTACTATATCTTTTAAATTAAGTGAGTTATTCACTTTTCAATTTTGTTAATTCGGACGCAGTATTATGCGTTAAGTAAAACGAGTAGTATATCGTTAGTTCACGAAAATTCATTTTGGTGGCGCTTCAAATTGTGTACAAAATTATACGGTAAATATACGGCTTTTCAAGTTAAGAATAATGCTGCGTCCGGCATTTGGCATCGCCGCATATTTAAACAACGTTTCGAATCTCTGTTGGCTGGAATTATTATGGAAGACTTTGCAAAAGTAACGGGTAAGTAATTCGTTAGAAACCATGCATTTAAACTCTATTTATTTAATAACTATATCCTTTTTCTATGTTTAAACTGATCAAAATTAGTTAAGGATATTAAATGGTTTTATAAAAGGATATTGAATTGTAATATTAAATATTTTCCAACTTTTTCATGTTGCATAATAGAGTTTAAAATGTGGCGTGATTCTGTTTAGCCTGTGCAAATCTAATGTGTAGTTAGTTTTTTACCGATGTTCAGATACCTAGTTCCTTTGTGGATAGTTCGAATGTGTGTGAAGTATCAGTATAAGGTTATTCAAATTTTTCAGTAAGTACGTTTTAAATTATTATACCCACATAATCTAAACTAACCCCGCATTAATATTATTAATAAAAGTTGTAGATCACATCGACACTTTATTATTATTTGAGCTTTTGTTTTTAAAAGATTGATTTGTTTTTACATAAACCTTTTTATCCGTTATTTATTATTTTTTTTTAATTTTCAGTTTTTTATTTAGAATTTGTATGTAACCACGGTCAATAATTTTAAAACAAAAGCTAAAAAAAGTGTTTGTCTCATTGAGTCTTATTGAGATAGTTTTTGGGCATCTGTAATTGGTCCGTTACTATTATTTATTTCCACCTTCTTAGTAAATGACATTTTATAGGTTAATTTTGTTGTTTTTGTATCCAAGTAAACGATACATTATGGGAACAGACCTGTAATATTTTACGGGCTTGTATAAAAGACCTGTAAAGTTTTACAGGCCTGTAGAAAAGCAATTTATGAAATGAAATGACACATTTGACACATTAATTGAAATTTTAAATTTGAAAATCGTTGTCTTAAGGTGAAAATAAAAGTTTGTACGTTTCACGCTTTGCAATTAATCTTTACTAGGCTCACTGAATTATGGGGTTCGCTCCTGCATCGCTCACCCCACAAACTCCCAGCTCGCCGGTAAAGATTCATTTACAAAGCTTGACACGTAAATAACTATTATTTACTATAAATGTTGGTAAAGGGTGCGTCTGTCTAAAATATCGGGTAAACAATAGTTGCTTGACAATTGTGTCAACAAATATACTTTCTTATTAATTAATAAGGATAACTAATAAGTTATTAGTTATCCTTAATTTCTAAAATTTATTTTGCCTATTAACTCCAAATTTGTTACAGAAATGACAAATGCAAGAACAAATAAAATTATGTCCCTGATTGCTTCCGAGGTAGGTTTAATTTGTTATTAATTTATTATTTAATAAATATAAATTGTATTGCAGAAAGAATCGAAAGAAGGTAGTTTTAAAATTAATAAGATGTGTAATGCGCCTTTATCACCAATAAAGAAGACTAATATCGTAAGTGATATTATTAAGCCAACTGAAGTGTTTGAAAATGAGGTAATTTTAAAATATTTCTAATTAGAGCAAAATTACAATAAACATTTTGTTTAACTTATTAAAAATACTATTTGGTTTACAAATAAATTTAAAAAAAGATACATTTAGTGCCGCTTTTTTTTCTTATACATTTCGGCCCGCTGAACTTGTTTTTTTTATGGATATGTTTTTGAGATATGCATATTATTTTTTTTATTTGTTTTTTGAAGGCAGCTATACAATTTGTGTCATATCTCGAGTTAGAAACGGGTTATCGGGTTGCAAAAGGTGTCCAATTAAACATTATTCAGTGTCCTACAAATATCATATCTTAATTAAATTAAAGTTTTAGGGGTATGGGCCCAAATATCGAAAAAAGTTGTGTTTTGTATAAAAATAAGAATGCAATGATTTCAAGTTTAAATAAAAATCATCAAAATATGCCCATTTTCAAATAATCCACGTAAAGTCCGCACATTTACGAACAAAACAAGGTGTTTTCGATGGAAATCCATAGATAAGTACCGTTTATTACAAGTAGTAAAATTCAACTTTTTGTTAATTTTTTTATTTTTACCTTGTTTATAGGGTAGTGTTATTAAAAATAATTTCTTATATATAATCTTATAATACAAATTTATGCCTAAAAAAGGAATTATCATATTTAAGTTTAGCGTGTACATTGGAAAAAAATAGAGGTATCAAATGTACATGTTGCCTGTAAACCAGGGTTATTTTTTTGAGTTAAATAAATAAATTAATATTCTCTTCATTAATATTCTCTTAATTTTTTTGCAGTACAGATCAGATTCATCCAGTCCGGCACCAAGTGGTGATTTCAAAGACATTGAGGTATTTTTTTATATTCATGGTAATTTGGTTCAAGCTCTCCAAGCTAATTAGTAATTACTAATTACTAATAAATATGATGTACAGTGTAAAAAAACCATAACTGCTTCAATATTTATTAACTTATGTATATCCGATAAAAATCATCCCACCACCTTGGGATATTTGAATAAACAGTGGCGGCTGGTGGATTTTGGGTATACCGATGTCTCAATTATTAGATATGGGACCCACGCCAAATTTATATGAGTATATAATGACATTAAATAAACAAGTTCTGCGCAAGCTGTATTTAAATTGAAGTTTGCGAAAAAAAAGATAACATTTTGCTCGGCCGTACCGGCCCAATGGCGCCCCCAATAAATGTAATATAAATTTAACTGGTGCAATTTATTATTTACCATAGTTTATCGACAAATTTCATTTAAAAAAATCCAAATTATACAGATTTTATACCATTTTAAATTTTTAATATTTCTTTTCAAAGAAATTTTTAATATTTCTTTTCAAAGAAATAATAAAAATTTCAAATAATATAAAATAGTATGATTTGGATTTTTTTAATAAAATTTTAAATTTGTCGATAAACTATGATAAATAATAAATTGCACCAAAAAGTTCTTTTTTTCTAAAACTTCAATTTAAATTCTGCTTGCGCAGAACTTGTTTATTTAATGCCATTATAAATTTGGTGTGGGTCTCGGTATACACAAAATCCACCAGCCGCCACTGGGGATAAAACAAAAAAGTAATCAGTGCCTGACTTTTATAGCAATTACTACTAAATTTATCAACAAAACATGTATCTTTTTGCATGTATCTCTAAAGTATTCGTTTTATAATAATGTCTATAATCTACTTTTTTATAAGTACAGAGAATTTCTTGGTGCCCCCATGGTAAATAATAAAATGGTCCGTTTTTTAAACAATTAACTTAGAACATTGTTATATTTATATTAATATTATATGAACGCTTAAAAAACAGTACCTCGTAGCTCAATTTTGTATTGACAATAAGCTTTTTTTACTGATTATTATTTTGTTATCCAATATTTGTCTATAGCTCGTTAAGACTAACAGAACATTAAAGAAAATAATAAGGGTGTATATTAAAATTATTTGTAAAAATAAATTAAATCTATTGTTCTCTGTAAAATTTAGGTTTTAAAGACAGAATGTATTTCTTAAGCAACGTATTTTAAAAGTTATAAAATCCATTGCCCTTTAAATTATTTACATGTATTTATTATAGATTTATACACCCATTCAAGATAATCAAGATAATAATAGCCCACTAAGCAGTGAAAGCTCATTTTGCAAATTATTGAAGTCAAATACATCATCATCAAGTCCCTCACCGTGTGGTAATTTTGAGAACACTGAGGTATTTTACTAGAACTTCTTTTTTATCATTATAATATGGTATTCATTACAGATTTTAACACGCATTTATAACACCCGCAATCAAAAAAAGGAACCTAATTGTGATCTTCTATATAGTATTGAGGTAATTTTTCCAAATGCAAAATTTAAACAAATATAATCGATAATAATTTGTTATTATAGCCATATTCCCCTTTTGATGACTCCGATGCCGATCCTACTTACACTTCTTCAGATGAGGTAAGTGCTTTTTTTATTGTTTTTAAAGTAGTTTTTAAAATAATTTAAAATATTGAAAAATAAAATATTATTTAATTTATTAGAAAAAACAGAAGAAACGTCATTTTAAATCTCTCTTTTTGGATAAATCTGGTTTAACAAAGCATGCTGATCTTGGTAAAAATATTAAACAAAATGACAGTTATAATCTTCATCTACCATCTACCTCCGCATTGGATGAGGACATAAATTCTTCTAGTAAAGATCTTAACATTGCCATAATCAATGAGGAAAATCATTATCAGCTAGAAAATATTAACATCGATATTACCTCATCATCACGTGCCAATTCCCAACATTTAATAAAAACAAATGATCCTGACAAATCCATAAAAAAAAGAAAACCTGACTTTTGCTATTTCTGTGAAGAAGAGGTTCTTAATTTTGCAAGACACATTCAAAGACATCACTGTCATGAAACAGATGTTTTAAAAATTATGTCACTTGAACCTAGCGACAAGGAGAGAAAAGTTTTAATTAGTACCTTAAGGAAAAAAGGTAATTATATTAGAAATATGCAAAGTTTATTCAAGCCAGTAAGATCATCCAAACGTAGTGATCGAAATCTTTTGCCTTGTTCAAACTGCCTAGGGTTTTACTCATCTACCCTATTATACAGACATAAGAAGACTTGCAGAGGCGGTGAGGGAAGAAATGCCCAAGCTGATGGTCAAACTGTCTTATCCAGCAATTTTAATGTTCGTGTTGATTACCAACTTAAAGAGCAAGTGTTTCCTCGTATGAGGCCAGATAAAATTAGTTTGGAAGCAAAAAAAGATGCTCTTATATGTGCCTTTGGAGCTCGCTATTTGAAGACACACAGAGATAAACACTTTATACCGATAACTTCTAGAAAGATGAGAGAACTTTCGAGACTTCTATTAATCTTGAAAGAAAAAGAACCCAAGATTGGTACCCTATTTCAAGCTCTTCAACCCCAGTACTTCGAATTAATTGTTCAATCAACAAAAACTGTGTCAAAATACGATAAAATAAAAGATATATATAATGTTCCTACTTATGCTATGAATTTAGCAACATCACTTAAGCAATGCTCACAGGTGGCTGGAAAGAAAAAAAAGTTTTCCCACGATGCCAAAAAAAATCATTGGTACCTTGTGATTCCTTAGCATCCCCTGAGACAAGAAAACTTCCTTCCTAAATTGTAGCTGTTCATTTAGGGAAGAATCACCCCTTTCTGTGTTTCAGGGGTTACCAATTTTTTTTCGAATGATCAAAAATGTTTTTAAAATAATTTTGACAATATCTATTTAATTCTAGCATATGTGTATTCTTATAGGGGTTCTCTATTTAGATACAAGCTGTCGAAAACATATTCTCAATAAAAAAAAACTCGAAATCGAAACATCACCTATACGAAAGATTCACAATCCATATATCAAACAGTTAAACTGCAAAAAGCGATACGATAGCTTTACAAAAAGAGGGAAGGGGGTTTGACATATGTCATGATATGACAACCCAACAAATTAATAGATAATTTGTTTTCTTGAGAAGTGAGTTATATAATTAGTATAAACTAGTAAATTAATATATATATATATATATTTGTGAACTTTTCAAAATCAAAATGCCCCATCCTTGTGACCACCGTTGTGACCATGAAGAAAATAGAAGGAAGCTTTGTGCACCATGCGGGAGAAAAATTAGTCTCGGAAATCTAAAAATGGAATATTTCCGTATTACAGAAAATGGCGAAAAGCTTATACAGCAATTCATAAATACCAATTTTTCTATCTCTAATCCTAAATATCCTCTTAGCATTTGTTGTAATTGTCGCAAGATACTTGCAGAACATTCTAAAAATAATTTTCAAAGGCCTTTTAAGACAATGCCGAATTATGAAGACATTTTTCTGCCGAAAAAAACTAGAGCAAGTGATGAAGATGCAATTTGCCAGTGTTATATTTGTTTGACAGGGCGTCACAAAGGATCAGTCAATATGAAAAAAAAAATAAAGTAGGTAACAGCCTGAATTTATCTCTAAAAATCGAGACTAAAACTGGACAGTTTGGATCGAGAAATTCAAAAGTGACCAAGTTAGCACCCGTAACACCGAAAGAACAGGAAAAAAATGCCAAAACTTTATGCAACCAATGTTTTCAGGAAATTGGAAGGGGCATATCTCACACCTGTACAAAACATACTCGTTCAAAAAGAAAGCTGGCAGAAAATATATTACATTTAACTAATAATCTCCCACAGAAGCAAAAAGAGCAGGTTTGTAGTGAGCTTATACATCAAAAAGAAAAGAGTGTATTATTATCGACACGACATAAAGTTGATTCATTGACTGTAAGTACAGGGGGGCGGAAAAGAAAACTGTATTTTAAAAAATCGGCTGAACCTATCGTGCTTTCTTTTGAAAGTTTACATACCTACCAGGTTCATTCGGGTTCTTCAGGACAACAAATGAAAAAATTGGCTACATTTATTCGAGCAAATGCTGGTCGAAAATCAATACCTGCTCATTATTCCAAGCAAGTTGCAGAAAGGGCTAGAGTTTTGGAAGATTTTTACAGATATAAGATATTAGATTTTGATATTGAAAAAAGTGAAGTTCAACAGAAAAGACCTGTAGTGTGGTGTATTCAGAAAAAATACTGGAGGAGGTTATTCAGAGGAGAAGTTTAGTTGGTAACTATGTCATCAAAATAATGGCAGATGGTGGCCAGGGATTTTTTAAAGTGTGTATGACTATACTGCCGGAATATTATGTGTCTGATCCAGATCTTGCTACAGATACTACTCGGGTAAAGAGACTAAAGGTTGAAAAATTAACCAGTGTACATAAATTAATCATGCTGTGTATTGTGCCCCACATCAAAGAAAGTTATGAAAATGTCAAAAAGCTGTTCGACTTAATAAAGATCAATGATATTCCGTTTAAGTTCGTTGCGGATTTTAAATTGCTTCTGATCATTAATGGACAACAAACTGCCACCGCAACCTTCCCTTGTCCATATTGCTTCGTAACTTGATGAACAGGATCTTGTGGTAAAAACATACGGAAATTTGCGACAAGATTACAAGGAATTTATATCTTTTGGTGGCAATAAAAAATCGGCCAAATCAAGCCACAGCACCATCAACCCTCCGTTATTTTCCGAGCCCGATGACATGCCTGTTATTGAAAAATGCGTAATGCCGGAATTGCATATATTGCAAGGTCTTGTTAACCACATTTTTTGGAAAGGCCTAGTGCCTCTTTTGGGAAAAGAAAAAGCCTTAATCTGGCCGCAGCATCTAAAATTAATATCTAAAAACTACCACGGTGATTCTTTTGAAGGAAATGCATGTAGAAAGATGTTGAAAGAACCTGATTTTTTATTAAGTCATAAATTGTGTGATCATATTGGTGGTCCGCTAGCCCTAGTCCCGTATGTGTCAGCTTTTAAAGCACTCGATAAAATAGTTCATGATTGTTTTTCGAATATGAGGCTTGGCGGAAACTTGCATATGTACATAAATGAGTTAAAAAAATCTCTTGCGGCCACAGACGTAACTGAAACATTAAAGATTCACATATGCCTAAATCATCTTGAGCAATCCCTAGAGTTTTTGGAGCGAGAGGAAGGATTTGGCATTTGGTCGGAGCAAGCAGGAGAATCAATCCATCGTGAATTTTTGAAGTTCTGGAACCGGCGAAAATTAAATAACCTCATGGACCAGAATTATGCTGTGAAATTAAAGGAAGCGGTAGTGGACTTTTCTTCCAAGCATATTTAAAAAATGTATAACTTATTTATTATCATGTTCCTTGTGTTAAATAAATTTTTCTTTCTTAAATATGTATTCTGCCAATTTAAAATCACTTTGGATCATTTAATTTTGTTTTTCTTTTAACTTTCTAATCATCACCCATAAAATGGGGTGGTTTTTCCTCAAATGAACAGCTACGATTTAAGGATGAAGTTTTATCATCTCAGGGGGAGCTAAGGAAACACCGGATGCTAATGAGTTGTTTAGGCATCGTGGGAAAACCTTTTTTTCTTTCCAGCCACCTGTGTGCTGTGAAATAGCCCTCACTCTTTATTTAACTGGAAAAGTACCAAGCCAGTCAGTAGCAGAAACAGAAGTAAAGCTCAAAAACATGATTCTTCTTCTTAATACAAACTGGAGATATGAGATATCAAGCCAGGCTGGAGGTGATCTTAACTTAAAAAAAATGAACAAAATCACTATAGTTCCACTAGCCGATGATTTAAAAAAATTAAAGCAACATCTTATTGAAAGAGCCAAAGCTTCCATCGAAATTTTAAAAATTAATCCTACTAATAAGGAAGCATTCATAACATTAATTGAAACCATTTACTGCAGAGTAATTCTTCTTAACAGAAAAAGACCTGGTGAACTTCAAAGGATATCTGTTCATGCTTATTCAAGTAATAGGTCGGAAACAATAAATGCATATGAGGAACTTGATCCCATTATTTCTCCTACCGAAAAGATTTTGCTGCAGAGCTTTAAAAGAGTCGTCATTAAAGGGAAAAGAGGAAGAGGAGTCGCTGTATTATTTAGCAAAGATGTGCAAGAACATATAAATATTGTATTATCCTTAAGACAAAATTTAGTTGACGAAAACAATCCTTATTTGTTTGGTAAACCAGACCTACTAACACCCATAACAGGATACAAAGTCTTAGAAAAATATGCCACATTAAGTGGGGCAAAAAATCCTACATCATTAACGTGCACCAAATTGCGAAAACATTTAGCGACCTTATCTCAACTATTTTCTTTAAATGAAACCGAAGTGGATCAGCTAGCTACCTTTATGGGTCACACACTTGGTGTGCATAAAAATTCGTATAGACTTCCAGATGATGTTCACCAGACCGCCAAGATTTCAAAGCTACTTTTACTGCTGGAAGGGGGAAACCTTGGTAAATATAAAGGTAAGACATTGGATCAAATAGACCTAAACATGGACGATGACATATGTGACCAGAACGAAAATAACGATGATAATGAAGATAATGAAGATGAACCTCAATCTAGTTTAGCTAGAAATTTAAATTTTGACTTGGACAGTCCGAAAGACATCGTTAATTTAGACAATGTAAAGACAACGCATGAAAAAATGGAAGTTAAAAAAGGGAAGAAAAGAATATTGGTGACGTGGACGCCTGAACAGAAAAAAACAGTTAAACTTTTTTTTTTTAAACATATTAAGGACAAGAAACCTCCTAGGAGGGCTGAGTGTGAAGAATTAAAAAACACATATCCAAACTTATTCAAAAACAAGGATTGGCTTAAAATTAAAGTTTTTATACAGAATATTTATACGAAGAAACAAAAAGATGATTCTGATACTAGTTAAGCAAAAACACTGAATAAATGTCTTCATTTATTTTATATTTGCATTTTATCTTAAAAAGTTTAATATTAAGGTTGTATTCTTTAATATAGGTATTTAAAATGTAATGCATAATTTTGCAAGGAAATAAATGTAATTAAAATAAAAAGTTTTTTTAACTAAAAAAGCAAACTCTGTTTTATTCTAAAAAAAAAATCCAAAACCTCTAAGGGTGCTATGCCTAGACCTGCTTACAACTACAGCTATGCCTAGACCTGCTTACAACTACAGATCAAAGGCACTAATTTGGTTACTGATTTTTCACAAATTATATGCTACATATTATGTGCTGGTATTTTTTGTAAATTTGACAACAGCGCCGGACGCAGTATCATACTAAGTTTGTTTATAAAGTATACATAAAAGACGCCGTATTGTATGTAAGGTGAAATTAACTATACACTAGATGCAATAAAGTCTGTTTTTAAACGGACGTAGTATGATGATGTATATATATTTTTTATTTCTAAAGATATTAAAATTTTGAAAGCACCAATCGACTGAGAATAATGAGTAGTTTCAATATACGCTGCCAGATTTGAGCTAAATAGCGTATTTCTGGTAGATGCAGCAAGGATACATTTTGGACAGACGCAGCAACATACCCCAGATGTATATATATATATATACATGCACGGCTATCAATACGAAGCCCGGTGCATTACACTGGCTAGTCGAAGCCCGGTAATGCGGGACGGGGCGGTTAACTGTTCGTTGGTGCATAAACAACAAGAGACACACTTCGCTGTGTATCAGAAGCCCTGCGGTGTTGCCAATGTCTAAATTTATAATTATAGGCAAATTTAATTTAAAATACCTAGACTATACCTAAACTTAACCTATATTTTTAAATAATGACGTAGGTATACTTAAATATTTAATAATATTGTTGAATTATAATTATTATAATAAAAATTATTATAATAATAATTATTATTAAATTAATTATAAGTCATTATTTAAAAATATTGTCTAAATTTATAATTATAGGCAAATTTGATTTAAAATACCTAGACGATACTTAAACTTAACAATATTCTTAAATAATGACGTAGGTATACTTAAATATTTAATAATATTGTTGAATTATAATTATTATAATAATAATAATCGTTAAATTATAATTATTTATATTATAATAATTTAAAAGTATTGTTGAATTTAGGTACCTATAGGTATAAACATTTCATTTATTTTGTTTATACATCATAATTTTGAAAAGGTTTAAATATCTTATACAGGGTGCTCTACAAGCTCTATGGCAAACTTTGTCAGATGATAGCTGGGTTAATTATAAACATTTTTTCTTAAATGACATGGATGCGATTCGTTTTTGTTTAAAAGTTAAGCCTTTAAAAATATATATCCATATGTTAATAAAAAATATACAAATATATCAATGATTATTATATATATTATATAATTATTATAAGAATTATTGTTGAGGTTAGGTAATTTTGTGTAAAACTTAAATGGGAATCAAAACAAGTGAAACTGACTGAATATTTTTTTCATGAATTATAAAGACATCTAGTTTTTTTTTAAATTATTAGATTTAAATACACGAAAAATTCTAAAAAATCTAAATAATGACGTATACTTTAATACACTGCCCGACAAAATTATCGCATAATAAATATAAAAAAATTAACTCTAAAACGCCTTTACCAATCTTTATGAAATTTTTGATAAAAATACTTCAACTTATATCTCAATTTACGTGTTGGAGGGTTTTTTCGAGAAAATATGTTTAAAGCCTTTTTATTTAATAATGAAAAAATGTTCGAAATATAACTTTTAGGGAATTTTTTTAAATAAATAAAAAATATGCTGTTAAAGAGCGTATTTTTTTAGTACACCCTAAAAATTTTGTACAAATCAAACGAACATTAACGAAGATACAGCGCTTCAAAGTCGGTAAAAATGACGCCTTTTTGATTATTTTGCTGAAAAGTGGTCATTTTTCACGACTTTGAAGCGCTGTATCTTCGTTACTGTTCGCTTGATTTGTACAAAATTTTCAGGGTATACTAAAAAATACGCTCTTTAAGAGCATATTTTTTATTTATTTAAAAAAATTCCCTAGAAGTGATTTTTCGAACTTATTTTCATTATTAAATAAAAAGGCTTTAAACATATTTTCTCGAAAAACCCTTGAACACGTAAATTGAGATATAAGTTAAAGTATTTTTATCCAAAATTTCATAAAGATTAGTAAAGGCGTTTTAGAGTTAATTTTTTTTAATTATTATGCAATAATTTTGTAGGGCAGTGTATTTAAAAATAGTGTGATTTAGATTAGTAAAGGCGTTTTAGAGTTAATTTTTTTTAATTATTATGCAATAATTTTGTAGGGCAGTGTATTTAAAAATAGTGTGATTTATAATTATTTTAATAAAATCTATTATATTATTGAATGAATTATAAGTCAATATTTAAAAATATTGTCTAAATTTATAATTATAGGCAAATTTGATTTAAAAGACCTAGACCATAGTTCGAGCATCCGTGGAAAACCGGCTATATCCATTTTAATAAATGTTGGGAAAATTTAGAAAAACTAAACCAAATTAAAAGTTGAAAAATAAAAAAAAGAAGTGGGGAAAATTTCTATTTAGTTTAGCATCCTATAAACAAGAAAAATGTATTACAAACCAAATATTGTTTTATAGCTACATTATAAAGTTAAAGCTGCCTTTTATCCAATAAAAATCGTAGATAAAATATTACTTTAACCAAAACGTTGATAAAATAATATTGTAATGGTAAGTATAAATGGACAATCCTTATCTAAAAGGAACCAAGCGCCAAAAACTATTTTTGGACTTAACAACATTTTTTTGTAAAATAACTCATTTTTAATAATGCTCAAAAAGTTTCTCATTATTTAGAACTTCTTTTAAATTATTGAGACGACTTTCAAATTATAATTAAGTTTTTGAGCAGCATTAAAAATGAGTTAGGTATATACAAATAAGTTTGTTAAGCTCCGAACAAGTTTTTGGTTCCTTTTAGATAAGCACTATCCAAATAAAGAACCCAATTTCTTATTGTTGTTTGGTCGTTTGGTCGTTGTTTGCCATGTATAAATAAATTGACCAGTTGTGAATGTTAATTGACAAATTGCTATGAGAAGCTATCTGTCAAAAAGCAGTTTTTGCAATTCAATGTTACATTAAAATGATATTTAATAAAAATAATTTTTAATTTATTTCATACCGCTATTGGAAAGTTTTTAAATAAATTAAAAATTATTTTTATTAAAATTGGAAATGTTTCAAATAAATTAAAAATTATTTTTATTTAAATTATTTAAATGTAACATTGAATAATAATAATAATAATAATATATACAAATCCCCTTGTTTCCCCAATTAAAACTATGTAAAATATCTGGACAACTTGTAAAACCGCCCCAAAGAAAAATGCACTCCAAATAATATTTCAAAAATAAATATTTCTTTAAAATTAAGTGTATTACGAAAGTATTTAACAAAACATTGCCTTTTAATCCACGCCAAAACATAATTTTGGGAATATAACATTTGTTTTGAAAATCAGTAGATACAAATTTAAGAATCCCGCATTATTTTCTCCGCCTTCCTATCAAAAAGTCATCGAGCGTATAGTCCCCATTGTTGCCAGATGTACGGGCTTCGTATACTGCGTAATACTTATACAAAGCTGTATATAATCTCGTTTGACTCGTGTGCCCCCTACCGCCAAAGCATTGGAACTAAGGGTGTATATTTTGATAGGTTTGAATGGCATTAGGAAGCCCACCACTTTTTCGCCATTGAAACAAGGGGGCATCACTTAACTCTAAAACAAATTTATACACGCTAATTTTAGGAAGCCCGATTTCGGGCTTCGTAAAAACCGAGTGGGCTTCGTTTATACTGTAGAATGTAACGTTTCGGGCTTGGTAATGTAGGATTGCATATCTATATATATATATATATATATATATATATATATATATATATATATATATATAACGCAATTAGTAGCTTTGTGCGTATGGTAATTATTATTATATAAGAGCAAAGCGACAAAGTAACCAAAACGATGGCTTAGTTACCATGGAAACCTTCATAACAAAACGTCTTATACACTACGACTTTTGACACACATTATTATTACCAAACATTTTTATAAAAACACAGGTTGTAGAAAAAATCCTTTGTGTAATTCGAGCGCAAAGTGACTTTGCGGTCTTAATACACAAATAGCTATATAGAATCAGTTGCCAACAAAATTTGGTTTTTGTATCTTGCAATTTACATTTATGTATTAAAAGCTTACTTTATGTTACACAATTGTTAATTTTTTTGTAGCGTAATTATAAATATTGACTTTTTTGTAGAATAAACAAAATTATAAAACAAAGACTAACATGTACAATTTATTTGTACCTTAAAGCAAATTTATTTATAAAACCTTATATAAATACAACCATTTTATCAGCAAAAGGTCTGTAATTGCTTTAAATATTATTTTTCTTTGTTATTTTATTTGAGTTGAAACTTCGCTGTTCGCTGACTAAAGAAAAGTAAATTTTACAGAATTTCAAGTATTTTCAAGTTATTAATGTTTTTGATATGTTTGCGTTTCCGTAAAACATCTAATTTAGCCAGTTATTTTTCGTTTAAACGAGATAAGTACCATATAATTTGGTTCACAATTAAAAACGACTCTTTTCTATTTTAAAACACGAAAACAACTGCATGCCTATTTGTTTTCTGAATGTATTGTGTGACTTCCTTGGTGGTTGCATGTATAGCTTCCTTTGTAAGCTAAAAATATAAATAATTTCTTTGATTTAACGTAATTGAAATTTGCTTTTACAACGATTTCGTGATTTTTACATTGGTTAATTTAATTCAATAATGATTTTAATTATTTTCAGAAGGCCAAGTGTTCTATAGTATTGTCGCAATAAAGTGATCCCGAATACAAAAAATTTAA